GGGCTAGTAGCCATGCATCCTGGGACGCTGTGCACATTGGTTGCTCTATCTTCTTGGAACTGACTAATGATACCCTAGCTTGAGCTAGGTAAAACCTCTCAAAGATAACCATTGCCCAAAGTGGCATAACTTTAAGATGCTTAGAGGGTATTTAGCACCATTTAACACCCTTTAATGCATGGATGCTCCCATATTAAGTGCCTTCAAAAAGAAAAGGTTAAAGGTAAGCTGGACCACCACCCTAGGGTCTATTCTGCCCTGCCTTAAATATAAGAGTTACTATTTACAAACAGCTTATTGAATAATACATGTAACATTTCCATACTAAAAACTTAGAGCCCCTATACACACGCCAGACATATGCTCCAATGTGTACTAATTAGCACACGTCAGAGCAGACTCAATAAATGGAGTCTGCTTGGAGCACATTAATTAACACGCTCCAGCAGCCTCCGCATCACATCTATTCAGAATCCTTGTGCTTCAAAATGGTGGTGTGGGCGGTTGAACTAAAGCTTGTCAAACAAGCTTTAGTTCAAGTGCCCCTGCCACCATTTTGAAGCGTAGGTGGCTGAGTACCTGTGATACTGAGGGTGCTTAAATTAGAGTGGTTCTCAGAACCCTTTTCATACTGGAGCACATGTATAGATGCCCTTAAGGGTTAAATTTTATCAAATTACAATTTGACATAATCAATAAAAGTGAAGGACCTCAATAGCAGTATCCATGGTGACCTCAATTCTCTTCCTTTTTTCTAAAGCTGTGCAATAACCACAATTAGAGACTTTCCCACTCCACAACAGACTGCCTTTCAGTTTCCAGGTGTAATCATCCACAGCTCAAATATCAACTTTGTCACAATTATGCTTAAATACACAAACTGATCCAGAAAAGGTACTTCTGCATAATGGCAAACCCTGCCAAGTGTTATATATATGAGACAAAGTACTGTCTCTGAGTTCAGGTTATAGATTCCAGTGCAGTTACAGGGTATAGCGGATGCTTACATGTGAATTAAGTGCATGAAGTATTAACATTATTTCACTGCAGAATAAAGCTAGAGTTCTTAGTGTTGTCCATTTGGGACCCAGCTAGTCTCTTAAGTGTAAGAAGTCTAATTGTTGATTTTCATACCTCTAATTTTAATTTTATAAATGGAAAGTACTAGCACTGTTTTATATGCTTATTAATTGAATTATTTTCATTTCCTAGGTGCACCAGGACACAAACGAGTTGTTATTTTTGTGGATGACCTAAACATGCCTAAATTGGATCGTTATGGGTCTCAGCCTCCTATTGAGCTCCTTCGTCAGTACCTGGACTTTGGGGGTTTCTACGACAGAGACAAACTATTTTGGAAAGAAATACAGGTCATTCCAGTTTTTAAATGCTGTGAATTTGATACATTTCTTTGGGTTGTTTGTTTATTCTTAATACACTGCAACTTTTGTTACTTCTAAACATCACTTATTGGTTTTCAAATATAGTTTTCCCCTCGTCTTTTCTCACTGTTCCCCAGAGGAGTCACGTTTAGAAGAGTGTAAAGTACGCATGGACCTCCTAGTTTTACAAGCTTCTCTCAGCACAGGAAACATGGCAGCAAGCTTTTCTTCTTGAAGGTTTATGTGTAGGTGTTTGTTTCTGGATGTAACCTTCTTACCCAACTGGCAGTTTTGATATTAGCCAGTAGGTCTGTCTCTTTTCCTGACTTGCAGTACAGTGTATGCTCCTGTGCCTCCAGCTACAGCAAAGCAATTTGCTGCTTTAGAATTCCCTGCTGCCAGAAATTGACTGTTGGGCCTGGGGATGTTTTTGCAACTGCAGGCTGTCTTTTGATGTGCTAAATACTAAATGAATATTAAATACTAAATGAACAGTAAGTGTTATAGCAGACATTGTTTTCTTTGTCTGTCACTTTCAAAAGAGGATGAGGCAGACTCCTAAGAGGAAGTGGCAGTTCCATGATTATGGGGCATATTCTGCAAGGGCTTTGGTCCTAGGAGTAGATTAGAGGGACTGCTGCTCTCCAAACTGGTTGTCACCAGAGGACTGCTCTGTAGTCACCCCCTCCTGTACCTGGCACAACCCCTATGTTTGTATAGTGGCCCTACACTTTCCAAACCCTCCCCAACTCCTGGGGGGTCCTTAGTTCTCAGAGCATATTTGGCCTCTTTGTAAACCTTTGGCAGTGCAGCGCAGCAAGATCAGAGGTTATAGGAACATGATATAAGACTTTCTGTTTAACTTCTGCTTTTCAACATTAGACAAAGCTCACTGGGAAATTTAGTGTGCAGGGATTCTTTCTTGGCATAGCATGTGTTCTGTTTTACTGCTCCTTTCATGCCTAACCAGGCACTCTGCCCTGCGTCAGACAAGCCTCCTACAGAAATGACAGTGTGTGGTCGTACTACAAAAGACTGTATAGTCATGCAGCTATGAGGAAGTGGGATTAAATTTTAAGGGTTGCTTCAGCTAGGCCTTTTTAAGTTTTAAATGCTTCACTTTTCAACTTAAATATTCTTTTACTTTATTGTCATGTTCGAAGTATTATATACAGTTTAAAAGTGTCATATAGTTAATTTTGTTTTTATATATATTAATGAAGCCTCACAAAAGGCTTTCTGAGGTCAGTAATGAGATCAGTAATGAGGACATACAGAAAATAAGTGGTTTCCTACCTTGTGACACAGTGGTAAGGCTGGAGTGGCAGGAAGTAGCCCTGGTTTTCTAGCCTTCTGCTTCAACCAGACAATTACATTCTGTGCCTAGAGGAGGAGTGAAAGTTTAAAATTAATTTGGGTTTAAAGAGAACCTTCTGATTCCTGAGTTGGAACCACAGGAAAGAGTTACCAGGGAACCTCTGTTACTCTCCCTTTCTCATCTCAGTTCTCTTTCTGCCTCAGCAGCTACCCACTCCTAACATTTTAGTGACGGAGTCTCCTTGAAACCTAGCATCTGCTGCTCTACACACAATCAAAAACATATCATGGTAAAGATTGAATCATTGAGAAAAAACACCTAAAAACTTTGTGATTGAGTTGGAGAGTTGTTTACCAGTGTTGGTCTAGAGAATATGTGAGAAGCCAGGTTTTATTGCTCATAGCTTTTATTAGACCAACTACATAGTTTTCTGTGCCTGAAAGCTGTCCAACATTTTTCCTAATTATACAGTGGGTCCAGTAAATATATTACCAAAAACTCATGCTTAAAATCCATAAGGCACCAATAACATTGTAATTTTTAATAGACTAAAGTCAACTCTTCAGTGTGATTATCAGCTCAGTTGTTTAATACATCAGTCTCATCATCCAACCTCCAAGTACTTCTCAGAATGGCAGCAGAAGGCTGGTTCACAAAATATTGTGGGCAAGCTTAACAAAACTCTTCCTGTGTCATTCAGAAAGAGATCGCCTCTTTTCTCACAGTGTAAACCTCCTAAAGGATTTCAAATTTGGCTCCAGTAACATTCCACACATACATACTACAAAGGATTTGACAAGCATTTAGCAACACCCTGTAGATGGGGTTGTTGTATGGATGTTGTTGTACCAAAGGAGTATCAGAAGTCATTCTGCCACAGAATGCCTCCCAAAACTCCTTGTTTGTTGAAAGGGGAGTACAGTCCATTATTAAAAATTAGAAAATAGAATAGCTATTAGATGGGAAAATTCACTAATAGCTAATTTGGCTCCAGTATCTGATTGTGCCTGAGACAAAACATGGGGCTTGGGATAAAGAAAAAAGGTACTGAGCTGTCCAGCACTGACCATGTCTGTTCTGTGCCCAACCTTTGTGCCCTGCAGGCCAGGTGGGCCTCCATGGGCCAGATCCAGTCAATGGGCCCAATCTGGCTTCAGGAGCTTGCACAGCCTCACCTTGATCCCTCGGCCCAGGGAAGGGTCAGGGAAGAGCATCCCCCATCTGGACATGTTGGGAAGGTGTGGGGAGCAACCTGGTTCTAGTTCCAGCCTAGATGCTTGGGGTGGGTTTGGGCAGGGCAGACCTGATCTGGAAGTTGTGGGGAGGAGAATTAGCTTGGTCCTGGTCCTGGTCCTGGTCCCAGTCTCAGTCTGGATACATGTGGGGAGGTAGGGTGGGGTGGAGCAATCCTGATCTGGGTTTGCAGGTGGGGGCGGGAACAGCCTGGCCAATCTGGACACATAGGGGGTGGCTTGGCCTTGATTCTGCTATATGCTCTCCTCTGCCAAATTTCCAACCTGTGGGGAGCCCCACAGGGCCAGATGTTATGACTTTGCAGGTAAGAGGTTGAGTAACCCATGGCTAGCGTGCATTTAGGGCTTTTATAAATTAATTATTTTTAATGACATTAAAAAAAGGCCAAAGAAGAAATCACACTTCCTTAAAAGCAGCTGTTTAGATCAGTTGTTTAGAGGTGGTGTCAGTAGTATCAAGGTCACAAGTTTGACCCCTGGTTGGACTAGATGATCCCCTGGAATCCCTTCCAGCCTTACTTCTCTCTCTGAGTAGCTTAATAAAGGTCTGGGTTCTAATGTTTAATCAATGGTGTTTTGCATGATTAAACAAATTGCTAAGTATTTTTTGTGATACAAGTTGAACACAATTTCCTCCACAGGATGTAACAATTGCATCAGCCTGCGCACCTCCTGGCGGTGGTCGTAATCCTGTAACACCACGGTTCATAAGACATTTCGCCATGCTGTGCCTTCCAACACCCTCAGAGCATAGTCTTAAACAAATTTTTCAGGTCAGTAACAACTTCTGTGTGGCCATAAGGAACAGAAAACAAATTCATCTGTGCATTGTGTCATGCCACAATCTGGTCCAATATTAAACAAGTTCTTAGTAAAATATGCCACTTTTTTAACTTATGAAAATTCTTAAGGTGAATTGAAAGGCTTTAGAAGTCAAGGGGAGACTTTCCATTGCTTTCAAAGGATGTTGGATCAAGCCTATAGGCACAAGAAGAGTATGTTTAAAAATATTAGCCTTTAACCTAATTGTTTTTATTCCAATTTTGTTTAGTATATTTTTATTTAAATGTAATCTTTAATATTTCCTTCCTCCCCACCTTAGTTTCTGGAAACACTACATTAATTGGCTAAAAATTGTTCTCTGATTCAATAGCTACCCCTTGTAGTTAAGCAAAAATAAGGATGGCACAATATTGATATGTATTGTATCATTTTCTCCCAGATCACTGGAAGTAACCTCAAAACAGGATTTTCCCATAGCACAGGTCTGGTGCTGCAATCCCTTGTTCACACAAGAAATAACAGTCTCATGGAAATTGGCCAGACCTGAATAATGGGTACAGGCTTGAAGCCACCAAAGGGTGGACCTTTTTCTATTGATTTGGATTAAACTATTAATCTTTTAGCTTAGTTTTGGCAACCAGGTTTTACAGTTCTGTATATTTATATGTATCAGATGTCTCTTACAAATTTTGAATGTGCTTGAACTTTCTTTGGTTAAACCAGAGTATTCTCTTTTCAGTCGCATCTGACTGACTGGGTGGTTTGGTTTTCTTGCTTGAGGTCAGGTGCAGGGAGGAAGTAAAAGTGGCTTTCTCCTTTATTCCTGGCTCATTCTGGGCTGTCCTTGCTGTTGGTGCAGACACAAAAATAACTTAGTGCAGTCCCTGAGGCTGTTTAACTTATGGCTGCTTTTTGTGGTTCTGCAGTGGAGAAGAGCACAAAGCACTCCAGCTACTCATGTTATCCTCCTGCACATACTTACATTGAGTCAGTGTGGAATGCTCAGCATTTGGGAAATCTTTAGTGACATTTATAGGCATCTAAGATGGATTTTAGGTACTCCCCATTTAAAGTTCTGAACTTAAAAAATACATTATCTTTACTATTCTTTGTTTGCAATTCTGAATAGGTTTTCTTTAGGATAAATGTTCAGCAAAATTCCTTTAAATCAGGCATGTTGAACTCATGTGGCATCCCAGCATGGGTCTGGACCTGGAGGTGGCAGCATGTGGCAGTGGGATGAGCCACATCATGGAGCTGCAGGTGTTAATTAAATTCTCCCCTGCTAATGACACATGTCCCCAACCAGGTTCTGTCCCTGGATTTTGGTGTGGGCCCTGCCCCTGTTGGCATACCCCTAAATTCCCAGCTCTTCTAGGAGCCCACAGGCCGTATGTGTGACACTATTACAGAAAGGAATCAGAGCTCATCTGAAGAAAAATTAAGCTTCTGTATTCTTGTTGATTTAAAGTGAAAGGAAACTACCTTTATATTTTGTTTTACACTGTTTTATTTTGTTGTTGTTGTCCTGGGTATAGGCGATCTTAAAGGGCTTTTTGGCAGATTTCTCTCAAGCAGTAAAGCAGAATGCAACAAACATAGTGGATGCTGCTGTTGAAATCTATCAGAGAATGAGCATTGATCTTCTCCCAACACCGGCTAAATCCCATTATGTATTTAATTTACGTGACTTGTCAAAGTGTGTGCAAGGTAAAATATGTTTGTTTTTAACAAGTTGTTTTTTTCTAATTCTTATACATTATATTTTCAGGGGCTGTTGACCTGTGCCTCCAATGAGGGCTCTGAAAACTCTGTATTTTTTCTGATTTCAGCATTACATCTCCAGGAGTTCCTTCCCCCTATTAGATTTTTTAGAACAAAGTACATGATTTGCAATGGATGACTGGTCCTTGCAGTTATTTTCTTCTGCTAGGTGCAGCTCATAATTTCCTTCATTATTCACAATTTGAAGAAAGCAGATCCTGCTACTGTGTGAAAGGCAGATGTGGGGTAGTGCTATGTAAGCACCAGGGAAACCCAACTCATCATTTCCAAGTGAGGTAGATGAATTAAGTGTGGAACCTGTGTAAGTTTGTACTACTTTATTTACTTGAGTCTAAGAGGACCCTGACCTTAAGATGACCCCCCAAGTAATTAGATTTAATACATGGAACATTTATAAATTTGTCCAGCTTGGCTGTGGCCCTGACCCTAGGTAGGGGTTGGAGCCTGAGCCACAGCAGCTGCCCCCTTCCCCCCACCTCCCCATACTTGGTTCTATGAAGAAGGGCTTTTTTAAATCAGGGGGAAGCTCATATTAGCATAAAATAAATACAGTAAGTATTTTGCCTCTGTTTGACTCATATTAAATGTACTCAGTTACTGATGGTGAAAAGGGGCAGAAGGGCCTTCAGTCAATGTTGTTAGGTTAGAGTAGTTCCCTTCCTATGCCCCAAGGTGAATAGCAATCATTGAAGTGTCTCTGTAGCAGCTCAGCGAGCATAGCAAACAAGCAACTAGGGGTATGGCCACATGTCACACCTAGAGTGGTTTAAATGCAGTTTAAACTTAAAAGTCTGTGAAACTGGTTTAAAGCTACCAGGAGCTGTTCAACAGGAGCTGTTCAAACTATATCTGGAAAATCATGTACTCTTTTGAAACAGTTCACAGAGTACTAGTCAGTGTTACATGTAGACACCAAGTGTTCCATGATGTGTCCAGGCATCCCATACTGCGTCATTCTCTCCACCCCTGCTACAACTGGCAGCTGGAGTTCCACTGCTTCCTTTTTTGTTTTTTTTAATCAGTAAGCTCCCATGTACTGTCTGTTCAATAAAAGCTATCTTTCTAGCAGTCAGATATATCCTCACTCCTTACTTAACCACAAACCTTCATCAAACTCCACTTAGCCTCTGGGAACCCAAAAGTGTGGGTCCAAATGCTCCTCCCCTACACATTCCCTGACCATCCTATGTCAGGTGAGCACACTGGAGATTTTGGTCAGTTGCAGACCGTCAAAGCTTATTGAACTCACATTTAGAAGAGAAGGTGAGAACAGAAAAGTGAAAATGATCCTGCCACACATCACCCATCCCCTGAAAACCCCTAGCAGTCAGGCAGCCCTCTTATTTAACCACTTTTGTGCCCCAGCCAGCCCCGTCAACATCTACATGTGTGTGGCTGAGGAGTAAAAAACTCTGCCATAGGAGTTACATAGTGTTTACAAGTACTAACCTGTGGCAGAGTTAATTAGTTTACTCCATCCTAATAGCACTGCATGTGTAGTCTCTGAGATATTTACTGTGGAGCTAATTAGGCAACTGCAGTAAATATCTCATGTAGATATGCCCACATGTCTTTGGCCTTCTGGAATTTCCCTGTGGTTGGGGACTCTAGATCCATATTAACCTTGATTATTTCAAGCCAGATATAATACCTCCAGATATGACTCCCATTTTCTCACTCATGTTTGCAGTACATATCTGTATTTGAACTTGAGACCCTAGAGAGTTAGCCATACCATGTCCAGACCTGCTTGAGGATGTATGCATCCAGAGCTTGCTGGAAGTGTGGAAATAGTTATCTTTTGTGTTCCTTTCCCTCTCTTGATCTCTGTGTTTTGTTCTAAACATCACTTTATAATTCCATTTTTAAAGATGAATAATAGAACATAAAATGACCCAGAGGAGCAGAACAAATGCTCTTAAAAGTATGATACAATTTGCATACTGTACAAGTGATTATTTAGCTTCCAAAAGAGGAAAGCTGGAGGCAATTTAACAAAGCTGCCCAGAAAAGCAGAGTAAAGGATGAGGAGTTCTTCAGTCCCATAATCAAAGAATGAGTGGACACTTACAATTCTCAAAGAAACTGAAGGGTTGTACATTTATAACTGATAATAAGTTCAACATACGGCCAGCCTGTAGAATTCATAGCTGAAGGGGCTCATCAGTTATAGTGCAATTCCATGGCAGAACAGGTTAATTACTACAGATGATAATTGTAGCTATCCAAGCTAAGCCAATAAAAGTAATCAAATCTCATGCTTCATGGCATAATATGATTGTTTATTGAAGTGAAGAAGAAAACTATTTTTCTATGTCCAATATTACATATTGGGTGTGGTTTATTTGTGGGGGGGTTAAATGTCCTCTGAAACCTCTGACATTTACCAATACTGGTGGCTGGATATTTGATGAGCTGTTTGATCCTTGTGACAAATTTTATGTTCAGGGTATTTTAGTCTCTTCATATTTCAGCTCAGCAGTTATACAGAATACGTATTTTTAAAGCTATTATATGAGCATTGTGAATATTTGTTATAGTACACTTGTTAGTATGAAACAGTTAAAAAAAACTTTGGTGGTTTCTATCTGCATACAATAGCGGTCTGCAACTACAGCCCACAGGTTGGATCTGGCCTGTGGACATGGAGCCTCAGTTGCATTTGGCAGTTTAATGTGCTTCAGCAACAGTTGCTTTTCCCTGCCACTGTGGGGAAAAGTGCCAGCTACTGGCATCTTCTCCATGCTGCTACAGGGAAAAGCAACGGCAGCAGCTGTGTTCTGGTGCCAATCCCTTGCCTGCTTCTGACCTGAAATGGGTCACTCTAGCCTGCAGCCTAAAAAAGTTGCTGGCTACTGACATACAATAATGTTGGAATTAATAACAATGAGAATCAATACACTTAACATTACCTCGAATTTTTCCTCTTCTGATCTCTCTCACATAGGTGACATTTTTCCAAGTTATGAGTTCTGTGCCACCATATCTCAGTCTGGAGCTCTGTTCCTGCATATATAATAGGAGAGTCATTACTTCATGTTTTTATGTGTAGTTCTTGTGTTAAGAGAGATGTCGTACAATGTAATTACTTCTTTTCTTTTTTCTGCAATCACCTCCATACCTCTGTATTTTCTCCCTGAGAGGTATACTTCATATACACCAATCTGTTTTTTTCAGATTTCTCATTTGACCCTCTTGGGGCACTGTGCACCCCCAACAGCTACTAAACACCTTTGTCACTGACCCTGGGGATTCTCTACACAGGCCTTTTTAATAATTTATTTTGATATTGTTAAAAATAACTATAGAATATGTTACACCGGTGAAACTGTTGTCCACATATTTTGCACACAGGCATTCTTCAGTGTGATCCTGGCTCAGTCAGAGACGAAATGCAAGTCTTCAGACTCTTTTCCCATGAATGTCAAAGAATCTTCCATGACCGCCTCATTAACAGTGAAGACAAACAGTACTTTCATTCCATACTATCTGAAATGGCCAGTAAGGGGATCTGTTTATTCCATTTTCTATTGTATTATGCATTAAAATATATGAGACAAAAATATAACTAACCTAGGATTTTAATTTGTAGGCAAACATTTTGGAATCCCAGTTGACCCAGAATACTTTTTAAACAAACCAATCATATTCGGGGACTTTCTTAAAGTAAGTATTTCATAAATCTAATTTTTCGTAGAATGTTACATTATGGTTTTAATTTGCTTTGTTGAATATAATGTCAGGGTTTGTTAGCCTTGGGCAAACTGTGATATAATTGTATTATAAATTAATTATAATATTAATATTAATTTTATTATTAAATTAATCCAAATTGTACAGGTCTATTTCACTCTTGGCATAATTAAAGACAATACCACAAAAGTGAATGGAGGGTTTTGAAGGGGGGGGAGGAGGGGGGTTGCATCCAACTGAACATGACACTCCGTTATATTTAGAAGAAAAATGATTCTTTCACATTTTGTAAAATACCTTCACCAAAATGAAATTTCACACTGTTGTCCTCCCTGTGGAAGACTTTTCAGGGAACTTGAGTATAGATGTAAATAGACAAAGCTGTATGTGGAGTGCCAGAAACGGTCCTTGTATTAGGAGGAGGTGAATAATCTACCTGAAAATTGGATAGAGTAGCTCATCTGTTTTTAGTGAGGGAAGCTAATGCTTTTTGAGCTTCTATCACTAGTGACCAGTGACTTCCAAACAGGAGATAAGTGAAAGTAAGTGATCCTAATTATGGAACACTTGGCTGATATCATTTTGGTTCTTGTTTGGAGGCTTATTCCCTTCAGAATAAATCAGGACCAGAGAGAGGTCAAGATAATTGGTTTCAACAACTATTTCCCTTTACAGAATGCACTAACCATTACTAAGGGAGAGTAATTACTCTCTCTCAAAAAAATCGCTGTACCAGCGGAAGAAAGAGATTTCAGATAGAATTCTGATCTTTAGAGTCTATGTAGAATTGATAGAAAAGGAAGCTGTCACTAATACAGTTCATGCACACTAAAGACAAGCTAAATCTTTAAAGCGTATTTTTAAAAGCTAATGGTATTTAGCAAAGAGATTATGCCAGGGAGAGATTGAAGCATTCAATTAGCTAGATTAGAGAATAAAAGGGACAAATGTAAATAGTAACAAAAATATTCAGTGTATGGGCCACTAGGGATATGGGTCTTTCACAGAAAGTACATGTTTACTTTGCATCCCTATTTTCTTTGCATGGGGATAACTTTTTATTTTGCTTTTACTCATTTCTGCAAGTGGTAACTGATGCCTTGTAAAGAAATCTTTTGTACTGAGCCTCAGGAAAAATCTCCTTTGAAGCTAGCTGAGTAGGAAAGAATTCATGTGCCATTCAGGTGAAAACCAAGCTTTAAAAAGCCAGAATAGGAGAGAGCAAAAATAGAGTAATTCTTTGAGGTATTGGTAAGAGTGATTTGGCAGGAACTGAGGTATGAAACAGATTAAAAATGGGATTAGACCAACCCAGCTGGTTATTTTAACCCCAAATTTTAAAGATGTGGAGGAGGGTGGATATTGTTTTCATGAACTGTTGAATACAATTAAAATGGAGAAAAACTCAGAAAAACTTGCTGAATTTCCCGTTAACTTGTTGAACTGCTGTGTGCTCAGCACTTGATGGCCAGATCCACAGTTGTTAATTAAACAGGATTTAGGCATTTATATAGCAAAAAATGATCCAAAATCCCCTCACGTCAGTGACCACAAAACTGATTAGGCACCTACGTTCATGAAACATCTACATTTTGTATGACCAGTTTGAGTATCTCAGCTACCAAATTGCAGGAATTTCAGTACTAATCTATTTGCATATTTAAGTGTCCTCTCATTTGGATATCATCTATCTTATTCTCTGCATATGATTTCCATTTAGTTTGGGGCAGATAAAGCTGATCGGATATATGAAGATCTGACTAACATGGAAAAGATTGTAACAGTTTTGCAAGACTATCTGGATGATTACAACATAACAAATGCTAAGGAGACAAAACTAGTGTTCTTCCAGGATGCCATAGAACATGTTTCAAGGTAAATACAATTAAGTTTCTGGTAAGCTAGTAATGCTGCAGAAATATTACTATTTTAATATAATGGTTAGCATTTACAAGTGAACTCAAGCTATTTTGAAAAGTATTTAAAATTGTATGATCAGTCATAGGTTTATGCCCTGAAAGGATGTATTTTTTAAAAATATGCTGGGAATTAACCACAGAATTCTTGCTAACCAGAAAAGTTATATTAATCCTATGATCTGTAAATATAAACAATATTAAACCTGAAATGGAGGGAGATAATGTTAAAATCAGGAAAAGAACGTAATTCCAGAATAAGCCCTGGATAACGAGTTTGTCTCAAAATAAATTGAGCAAGCAACCATCTCAGATAACTCTTTCATCATCCTGGTGCCCCTGAAATACTGTGCTGCCTCAACAATTGTCACCCATGTGAACTTTGAAGTCACTGAGTATTATCAGTTTCTGTGACTCTTCTGCCCTCTAGATTTCTAAATATCATTTTAGGAATCTGACATAAAGCACTTCAAAGATCCACTTTAAGATGTGCCTGTTTTTGTAGCCAATGACACATAACAGAATGAAGTGGGCAGCATCATGCCTGGCTCCTTTTGGCTCTCCAGTCTGAGTGACCACTTACCCATCCACAGCTGGTCAAGTAGAAATGTCTTTGTGTGATGGAGCCTGTGCTCCAGCAGGGGCTATCCATGAGCACCCTAGGAGGGGACCACCTCCAACTCACCTGCCATGTCTTTGGTATTATAACAAAAAGGAGGGTTCAGCAGTGCTATTATGGGTCCCCCCCACATCTTGTTTCCGGTCTCCTGTGAGGTGACTGTAGGTTATACTGTTGCTGTCAAGACACCTGATCCCTGAGTATCAAAGGTAATTTTGTTGAGAAAAAAGGAAACAACATAAACATTGATATACTTCAAAGGTAGAAGTGTGGGATCCCCTTACTTCCTGGGTCCTCCCCACGTAAGTCTCTAAGGGTTCCCAAATACCCCGAGCCAAGATCCTTCTCTGGGTCTGGGTTGCCCCAGTTCTCCCAGGCCTCTGGCATGCCCTCAGTTAACGTCCAGAAAATAATGCAAATAAAATGGGGCCTTCAAGCTCAAAACACTGCTTGCAAACAAGGAAACAAAAACCCTCTCAGGGTGCTCATAAACAAAGTGGAAGTGAAGGTAAAACTGCATGTGTAGTCCTTTCACTGGACTACACATACTGAATCCCGCAAGCTCCGGTGCTCAGCTTTCCCAGGGCTCCCTCTCAGATCCTCCCCAGGTAAGCCTCTAAGTGTTCCCCTGAACTCCTGAATGCCCACTTTGCTTCGATATTTCACCAGACCATGAGGAATGTCAAGCAAGATAAGGCTCATAGGGGACATGCCACGACTGACAGCCTCTCCACTGTGGATACAATACCAGTTACAAAAGCTTGACATTTATAAGTCAGCAGGACCAGATAGACTCCATCCAAGAGTGTTGCAGGAGCTGACTGAGGTCATCACGGAACCCCTGGCAAAGCTCTTTCAGAATTTGTGATGTACCAGGGAAATCCCTGATGACTGGAAGAGGGCCAACATTGTGCCCATCTTCAAGAAGGCGAAGAGGGAGGACCCGGGCAACTATAAGCCAGTCAGCCTAACCTCCACCCCAGGGAAAATCCTGGAAAAGCTTATTAAAGAATGTATGTTCAATGCACTCACAGTAGGCAAGATTCGGAATGCCAGCCAGCATGGCTTTGTCGCGGGTAGGTCGTGTCTTACCAATCTCATCTCCTTTTACAATCAGGTCTCTCGCCACCTGGACACATGGTAGATTTTATATACCTAGACTTCCCAAAGGCTTTTGATCCAGTATCCCATGATATCCTTGTGGGAAAACTGGAAGATTGTGGGGTCAACTGCTTTACAGTTCAGTGGGTGGGAAACTGGCTACATGGTAGGACCCAGAGAGTTCTCATGAACAGAGCTGGGTTGTCCTGGCATGAAGTGGCCAGTGTGTTCCTCAGGGATCTGTGCTTGGACCAGTGCTTTTCAACATCTTTATCAATGATTTGGATGGGGGATGGAAAAGTTTGCTGGCCAAGTTTGCAGACAACACCAAGTTATGGGGTAGTGTGGTCATGCCAGATGGTAGGTTGCAGCTACAGGCAGACCTGAACAGGCTCAAGAGTTGGGCAGACCGGAACCAGATGAAGCTTAACACTTCCAAGTGTAAGGTGTTCCATCTGGGAGCAAACAACCTGCAACATACATATAGGCTTGGTGGTGACAGCTTGACTTGAACCATGGCCGAAAGGGACCTAGGGCTAATGATTAACCATTGTATGAATATGAGCCATCAGTGTGAAGCAGTGGTCAGGAAGGCAAACAACACACTGGCATGCATCAACTGATGCATCTCATGCAAAACTAAGAAAGTGATACTCCTGCTCGACTCAGCACTGGTGAGACCACATTTTGAGTACTGCATCCTGTTCCGGGTGCCGCACTTCAGTAAGGACGTGGAAAAACTTTACAGGGTCCAGAAAAAAGCCACCCATATGATCAGTGCCTTGCAAGGCAAGCCACACGAGGAAAGGCTGAGGGACCTGGGCCTCTTTAGCCTAAAGAGGAGAAGGTTGAGAGGGGACTTGATAGTGGCTTACCGCTATATCAGAGGAGTGCATCAGGAGCTTAGTGAACAACTGTTCACTAGGGCACCCTCAATGGATATAAACTTCTGGAAGGCCACTTCAGGCTTAATACCAGGAAAAACTCCTTCACAGTCAGGGTG